AAACCACACAACACCCCCCATCATCATCATCATCATCATCATCATCTGTATTTATACCCTACCTTTCTCCCCATCATGGTTAAATGCTGGCTAAATTAAGCAGGACACATATCTAATTATCTTCAAGACAGATATTGCTTCAGACAGGTCACCCCACAGACCACTACTGTTTTTCCTAACTCCCCACCATATAGCCTTCTTCAAAATCAGTTCTTTAGCACTGCAAATTTGAAAGAATGGAAAACAAGAAAAATTGGTACCATTTATATGGAGAGACTTGTATGTAATTTCCAGGAACAGAGGCATAAAGGCGATTTTCCTTTTACCCTGGGCAGCCAGTGATCACAAATTGAACATGCTGAATCAGTGCATGGAGGAATCCGTAATAAGGATTGTCCTGAGATTAGCAGACCTGCAGGACTCTTCCTTCCTTTCCCATTTTTTTAAAAGGAAGATATATAGGCAGATCATATGAATAAGGGAGGAGGAGGAGGTGCGTTCAGAACTTCTGTGTAAATGAAGAGATGTTTCTGGATTATATGTATCATGAGATACAGCTGGACACTATGCATAAATAAGGAGGGTTCAGTTGCACCTACTCCTTCTTCATGCATAGAGACTAGTGCATCTTCTAACAATGCATAGCATTTGGATGTTCCTCCTCCTCCTTTATGCATCTGGACCCCCTCTTCCTTTACACATAGGGTGCAGCTACACCTCCTCCTGCAGACATACATGAAGGAGTAGGATACTGCCAGGCCCAATGCAGGAAGGACCTGGAGATGCTGCTAGTTCTTATGCATGGAGATGCCGACAGATACTATGCATTATCAGGAGATCCAGCCAGGCCCTACATATAAAGGAGATGTAGCTGGCCTCTATGCATAAAGGAGAAGAAGTTGGGCTCTATGCATGGAGGGGATGATGCACAAGGAGATGGTGTGCCTGGTGTGCATGAAGGAAGAGAAGATGCAGCCAGATTTTATGCATAAAGAAAGATGGGAAGTGGATCCTATGCATTAAATAGGAGGAGATGCATGCAGACCCTATGCCCGAAGGAGGAGGAGATGGAGGCAAATCCTATGCCTGAAGAGGCAGTGAAGCTGGAGCCTATACAGCAGGCATGGGCAAACTTTGTCCCTCCAGGTGTTGTGGACTTCAACTCCCACAAGGCTGTTAGGAAATATGGTAGCTGAAGTTTGCCCATGCCTGCTGTATAGGGTCCAGCTGCACTGTCTCTTCCTTCAGGCATAGTTTGCTCATGTCTGCTATACAGGAAGAGAAGGAACCAGTCACATCCTAAATCATAATGAAGAATTGCAACCAGGGCGTATACATGTGTGTGTGTGGGGGGGGGGGGGGGGGGGGGGGGGGGGGGGGGGGGGAGAAAGTTCAGTCCTCCCTTCAGCATGAAGGAGGAAATTCAGCTGGACACTATTCATTTCCCCTCCCTGTGCAAGATACCCCTCAAATTGGGGCCTGTCAGCAAAGAGACAGACAGTCAGCAACAACAGACTGGTTCAAGATTGGGAAAGGCGTACGGCAGGGTTATATACTCTCACTCAACCTATTCAACTTGTATGCAGAACACATTATTCGATGTGCGGAACTTGATGAATGCAAGGCTGGTGTTAAAATTGCTGGAAGAAACATTGACAACCTTAGATTTGCAGATGATACCACTTTGATGGCCGAAAGCGAGGAGGAGCCGAGGAGCCTTCTAATCCCACCAGTCCATACTTCTGGAAATAAAGCCTGACTGCTCATTGGAGGTAAGGATATTAGAGGCAAATATGAAGTACTTTGGCCACATAAGGAGAAGAAAGGAAAGCTTAGAGAAGACAATGATGCTAGGGGAAGTGGAAGGAAAAAAGAAGAGGGGCCAACCAAGGGCAAGATGGATGGATGGTATCCTTGAAGTGACTGGCTTGACTTTGAAGGAGCTGCGGGTGGCGACGGCCGAAAGGGAGCTCTGGCGTGGGCTGGTCCATGAGGTCACGAAGAGTTGGAAGCGATTGAACGAATAAACAACAACAGGAAAGAGTCCACAGGATGCCAGCCTTCTTTTTTGGCCAAAGAAAGCAGCACCATTTATTTAATCCCATTTCAACACACACACAAAATGAAGTCCAAAATACCTGGAGGATCGAAGTTTGCCCATGCCTGCTATACAGGACGAGAAGGATCCTATGCATAATAAAGAGTTGCAACCAGGGCTTATGTGTGTGTGCGGGAGAGAGAAAGAAAGTAAGAAAGTGCAGTCCTCCCCTCTCCATGGAGGAGGAAATTCAGCTGGACCCTGTGCAAGAAAGCTCTCAAGTTGGGACCTATCAGAAAAGAGTCCACAGGATACCAGACTCCTTTTTGGCCAAACTAAGGACCCTTCCATATAGCCCTATATCCCCGAATATCAAGGCAGAGAATCCCACATTATCTGAGTGGACTGTTCTTCGGTTAAACAGTGCAATGAATGTGATGATTACAGGAATGGAAATTTGGACGACGGATTGGATCACGACTCTAGTTATGAGATGCATTGTGTTGTCTATTGTTGTGTCAATATTGTATATTATGCTTTTATGGTTTTAAATTGTATATCGTTGATTGATTCTTATCCTTGTTGTAAACCGCGTTGAGTCGCCTGTTGGGCTGAGAAACTGCGGTAACAAGTAAAGTAAATAAATAAATAAATATGAAAAGCACAAAATACCTGGGAGTTACCCTGGACTCTGCTCTGATCTACAGGAAGCACTGCCTGAATATCAAGCAAAAAATGGGCGCTAGAAACAATATCATACGGAAACTGACTGGCACAACCTGGGGATCACAACCAGATACAGTGAAGACATCTGCTCTTGCGCTATGCTACTCTGCTGCTGAGTAAGCATGCCCAGTGTGGAACACATCTCACCACGCTAAAACAGTGGATGTCTTAATGAGACATACCACATTATCACGGGGTGTCTGCGCCCTACACCACTGAATAAATTACACTGTTTAGCCGGTATTGCACCACCTGACATCCGCTGGGGAGTAGCAACCAATAGTGAAAGGACCAAGACAGTGATATCTCTGGCCCACCCTCTATGTATCAGCCAGCACGCCAATGACTTAAATCAAGAAATAGTTTTCTAAGATCTATAGAGACACTCGCAGGAACACCTCAGCAAGTGAGAGTCTAAAAATGGCAGGCTCAAACCCAGAACCTCAATTAATGGCTGATACCAAATGAGAGACTCCCCCCTGGGCACACAGAAAACTGGGTGACCCGGAAAGCGCTGAACAGACACCACAAGATGCAGAGGCAACCTTAAGAAATGGGACAACAAAGTGGAATCCGTGACATGCGAGTGTGGAGAAGAGCAAACCACAGACCACCTACTGCAATGTAACCTGAGCCCTGTCAGCTACTGGTCAAAGGACATTTAATAGAATACCAAGTCTACAAACTTTGTGTTTTGTTTGTTTGTTTTTAATGCAATACAACTGTTTTGGTTCGCTCCTGACACAATAAATAAATAAGCTGGATATGCATTTTCCCTCCCTGTGCAAGAAACCTCTCACGTTGGGGTCTGTCAGCAGAGTCCACAGAGCCCCCAGTGGGTTAAGCCCCTGTGCTGGTACAATACAATACAATACAATAAGCCTTTATTGGCATAACAGTTGCCAGTGTGATCGCTCTAGGTCTGATCTTTAAGGTCATGACCCTTTCCTCCCTGTGCTGGTAGAACTGAAGATCGACAGGTCACAGGTTCAAATCCAGGGAGAGGTGGATGAGCTCCCTCTATCAGCTCCAGCTCCCCATGCGGGGACATGAGAGAAGCCTCCCACAAGGATGATAAAAACATCAAATCATCCGGGCATCCCCTGGGCAACGTCCTTGCAGACGGCCAATTCTCTCACACCAGAAGCGACTTGCAGTTTCTCAGGTCGCTCCTGACACGACAAAAAAAAAAAAAAATTGAAGCAGAGTCGACAGAACGCCAGCCTCCGTTTTGGCCAAACTAAGGGCCCTTCTACATAGCCCTTTATCCTCGAATATCCACATTAACTGAGTGTGAACTCAGATAACCCAGTTCAAAGCAGATACTGTGGGACTGTCTGCCTTGATATTCTGGGATATAGGGCTATGGGGAAGGGCCCTAAGAAAGGCACACACAAAAAATTGCACAAAAAAAAACCCTTCCCTCAATAGAAGAATACAATCCTCCTCCCCTTTCTGGGCTCTGCCTGCACCTTGACACAGGGGAGCCCAATGCTCTCTATCCCGCCTCCCCTCCTCCCCTCCCTCCCTTTCTCGCGCCGCCGCAACAACCCCACAAACAACAACAAATAGGCAGCCACATCCGGGTGCTTGCCGGAGGCCTCTCAGCGCGCATGCTCGGCGCCTTGGCCGCCTCTGCTCTGCTCTGCTCCCCCCAGCAGCAGAAGGAGGAGGGGGAGGAGGAGGAAAAGGAGGGGGCGCCGCTGGTGGTGGAAGCGGTTTCTAGGCGGCGGGGTTTCTAGGCGGCTTCCGTGTGGAGCAGGGACTAGGCCCGAGGAGGAGGAGGATGGGGCTTGTGGGGGCGTGTGGCAGCCGACGGCACCGCCACGAAGCGCCGCTGGTGACGCTCCTCCGGGGCCAGGAGCCGCACTGAGGAGGAAAGGCGCTCGCTGCTTCTTGCCCGCTTGTGAGGGAAGCAGCGCTGAGGAGCCCCCGAGGAGCGGGATGAGCCGGCGCCTCTCCTCCCTCCTTGTCGTCGTCGCCGTCGCCTTCTCCTGCGAGGCGGGAAAAAGGAGGAGGGGAAAGGGGTGGGGAGCTGAGGCGGCCTGCTGTCACTTCCAAGAGGGAGGGAAGGAAGAGGAAGAGGCGGCATTAGGCGCGGCGGACTCGGCTCCCTCACAGCCTTGGCCTCTCGCCTCCAAGGAGGAGGCCTGAGGGGAGCCAGAGGCGCTGTTGTCGTCGTCGTCGCCACAACCCCACAGCTGGCTGGCTGGCTGGCTGGGGCAGAAAGGCTCTGCTGCAGCTGCTGCTTCTTCTGCGGCGTTGCTGCTTCTGCCTCTGCTGCTGCTGCCTCTGCTAATCTCGCTTCCTGTCAAGGCTTCCTTCCCACTGAGATCAGAGGCGCTGCCCTGCCTTCTTCTTCCTCCCCCTCTTCCTCCTCCTCCTCCTCCTCCTTCCCCCCCTCATCTTACTACTCCTGATGTCCATAATGATTGGATGAAGGGAGGGAGGGAGGCTCTTTCCATTCCAAACCTCCGTCTTCTTCCCCTCCTCTCCCTTCCTATCCTTATTATTTATTTATTTGGGAGGGCCCTCTCTCCTTCCTGCTTCCTCCTCCTCCTTCTTTCCCTGGGCTCGCCCCTGCTGTGGTTTTCGATGAGGAGTGTGTGACAAGGCGGGAGCAGGAGCCACGGCAAGAGGCGGGTGGAGAGGAGGAGGAGGAGGAAGAGGAAGAAGAACAGGGTGCGCCGCCGCCGCCGGAGAGACCATGAGGAAATTCAACATCAGGAAGGTCCTGGACGGACTGACAGCCGGCTCGTCGTCGTCCTCTTCGGCTTCCTCCTCCTCGCAGCAGCCACAGCCTGCGACCCGGGAAAACGACATCCCAGAGACCCTCCAGTCGGAGCACTTCCAGCTCTGCAAGGTGAAGGAGGAGGAGGAGGATGCTGCAGCCCTTTAACAGCAAGGGGGGGGGGGAAGGGGGAGGAGGAGGAAGAAGAGGGTGGTGGTGGTGATGATGATGTAGCCATGATGGGTTCTGCAGGCTCTGGACACCTCTATGCTTTGGAGGCTATCCATATACATGGAAGGAAGGGAAGGAAGCAGCAGCAGCAGCGATGACGCTATGTGATGGTGACATTAGTATTATAATTTTGGATCCTCTCCCTGCCCATAGCCAATTTTCCCATTGCATTTTAGGCTATTCCTAAAATGCACAGATAGATATATTTTTAGTATCCCCCTGCCCATTGTCAATTCTCCCACTGCATTTTAGGCTATTCCTGAAATGCACAGATAGATATACATATATTTTGAGTCTCCTCCTGCCCATAGCCAATTCTCCCATTTCATTTTAGGCTATTCCTGAAATGCACAGCCTCTCCCTGCCCATTGCCAATTCTCTCATCGCATTTTAGGCTATTCCTGAAACAGACAGACAGATAGATCTGGAGTCTCTCCCTGCCCATAGCCAATTCCCCCTTTGCATTTTTGGTTATACCTGAAATGCACAGATGTATGTATGCGTTTGGAGTCTCTCCCAGCCCATAGCTCTTTCTCCCTTTACATTCTGGGCTATTCCTGAAATGCACAGGTGTACATATATATTTTGAGCTGCTTCCTTTCTCCCTCCCTGTTCCAGGGGCGGGGGTTGCATTGGTGCTGAAGTCAGAGAGAGACTGTCTTTGATGGGTGCCAAATTATCTGCATTACTGGCACTATAGAGGCGTTTTTGAAAGGTTTGGGCAAATGCAGCTCGGGGGAAAAACATTGGGAATGCCCCTCTAAGTGGTTTGAGGATGGGGGGGGGAAGTGGGGGGGCCAGAATTTTCATGGTACAGTAAACGCAGTTGAAGCCTAAATTCCAAAACGATGATGCAGCAGATTAATTCACCAGCTGTGTCAAATGGAAACACAAAATGAGGTGGATGTTTAATGCTCATCTCTACCTTTACAACACCTGTGGCCTACGCTTCTGTAGCATGACATGCTTGCAGATTGAATACACACCTTAAATATTGGGATGTGGGGGAGCTTGTTCCTGAAGATTAAAATAATAATAATAATACAAAAATATTCTTGTTTGGCTAGTGGTACCTGCATGGAGTCCTCTTTCCTCGCTATCTGAATCCTTACATCAGTTACACTAATTTATGGTTATTTGGAGGGGTGGGTTACTATTTTTACATATGTGGAATTCTGCTACTCTTGAATGCCACGAAATGGGAGCAAAGGTGCATTTATTTCTGTAATGATAAGATGAGGAGGACTTAGATTTCCATTACAATTAATGGTTGCAGAAGGACATGTGTAGAAGAGGTTTCTTGATAGCTACTGGAATAGCAAATGCATATATTTCAAAGTCCACTTCTGAGAAATAGTGATGACTCTCTGAAGAGCCATTTTAATAATTGGTGGTCATATAATTTACAGGACTGTCTGCATCATCACATTTCCTGGGGACTGTCACAGACTCTGTTACAGATGTCCTAATCACAATCTATGCAAAGCATTACAGATTAGGATGGCAATACAGTATAGCTGAGAAGGGAATTGATGGATTGCTTTGTTTGTATGTACATACAAATTAAATTGAGGTTTCATTTTTGTATTTTCATGTTCAAAAAGGGTTGACTAAAACCCACACCATTTTTTCTGCAGTAAAAAGCCATTTAGATCATTCTATTCTCTTAAATACTTGTGGTTCCTTGATTAAGTGAAAAGAAAATGAAATCGCATATTTAATATGTTTTTGTTTGTTTGTTTTCTTCTGCTTCCTGACCCATCATTGCTTTGCTGGCCTGACTTGACAGACTGTACGTCATGGTTTTCCTTATCAGCCTTCGGCCTTGGCTTTTGATCCTGTTCAGAAGATACTTGCGATTGGGACTCAGACTGGAGCATTAAGGCTGTATCCTTTTTATTATATTCTAAAAAGAAAATTGCTAAGAAGATTGCCCTTGCGTCCTGTATAGTACTGGAGTTACTGTGACAAAGCACTCTGCAAGTCAGGTAATGCATCTGAATGGGGGAGGGGACAACTCACAGTTATTGTTCTTTTGTATTTACTTTTGTCGGGCTGTTTTTGAGTGTACTGAGATTGAGGTGAATACATTGTCAGATTTTTATGAGAAACCTTTTTCAAAATAGTAGCAAGGCTAAAAATTTGTCTAATGTAGTTACACTTCATAATACAGAATGTTTAATGTTTTTGTGCTGTCAAACATGGATAATACACCAAGATCTCTTTTTATTTCCCAGAGCATGGGATAAAAGACACTCATTTAGAAGTGAAGTATTTTAATCATGGAAAGATGTTTTGAGTATCAAAATTTAAGGAATTTATGGTGAAAAGATCATTCCTGCTTACTTTTTTCTTTACTTTAGTAGCATATAGTATATTTACAGCTGGGAATCAGGAGGGGTTTTTATCCTGATCTGCAGATCACTCTTGATTCATATCTACTTTTTGCTACCTGTATTGTGAGTTGGAAATATATACCAAAATCATTTATAGTTCCTCATCTCTGTTTGTAATGCTGTAGTTCTTATTTTAGAAGAAACAAATGAGTGTTGTACCTGGAAGTTAAGTTTCCTCTTTAGGAGAAAGAAGAGTTTATATTTTTGTTTAACAATGTATTGTGCGAATCATACACGGTATTATACTAGGTTGCACATTTACAGTTGTAAAACTGTAAAAATAAAAATAATTTAGTGATGGCTGTATTTCCATCTTCATGATGATGCTTTCTAGTATGGATGAAATGCTTATTTCTGAAATGTATGTTTTTACTTACTATAATGGATGAAATGTTTATTTTTTGGGTGAGGAAAGGTTTGTGTCTTAGTCATAACTATACTTTTTAATGAAATGTTATCAGTAAACAAGAGCTTAAGAGTACTGTGTTAACTAGCTGTCCACAAAAGAAAAATAAAACTTTAGGGAGTAAAAAGTATCTGACTTCAGTATGCTTCTACTCAGATAAATGTAAGGAGTTCACTTGGGTTTGAACAAAGTGCAATACTGTAATCTCTTCTAAATTACGAAGTTGGTGTTTTATTTCTATTTCTCATTCTATTAAAATGCATGGGATTTAATGTTAATGAAACATTTAATCCACTTTTCTGTGAGAAAATCAAGGCTATTTTAATTAATTGCAACATTTAAGAACCAAGTAAGCATTGATAGAGCCAGGTTGTATATCTAATATTTGTAATTTTATTCGTGTTGTGTTAATCCTATATTTCTTTTCTTGTAAACAAAAATAATTTTATGTATATGGTATGTAGCAGTTCTTTACTATGGCTGTAACTTCCCTTGTTTTAAGGGAATGAAAGCCACTTCCAGGTTTGCTGGGTTTTCAGACTGATCGGCCTCAACAGCATCTTAAGAATGATGTTCAAAATGAGGCAAGTGCAAGTAGTGAGTAAGGCTCCTCTTGGAAGCATGTCTGGTGGAAGTCGATGCTTGTTCTGGAAATATATAGAAGGAAGTTCGATAATTTGAGATGAAGCATTCTAGAGCAATGATTCCTGTCAGAGAAGATGTGGGGATAAAATATCCAGATTGCTAGAACCACAAAACTTTGTTCGTAAATACATTTTTCCAAGAAAAGGCACTTATACTTGGAGACACAAGATGAAACAACAAATTATTTTGAAAGCAAAATTAACAGAAATGGATAGACATGTTCTAGTAATTTGAGGTATTAGTCAATCTGTTTATTGTGATTAATAGTGCTTTGCATGCTGAAAAAAGAATATATACTTTTGACATTGTACCTGTAACCAGAAAGTTTTGAATCTTTTTCAAATTCTTTTCAGTTTCTCTTAAATAAGCAATGTGAATACATTATGTGAACACATTTTCATCAAGACAGTTGCTTTTCTGTACCTTTAATGTCAAAACAGCATATTTTCAGGATAAAAGAATTTCTACCATGCTTCTTGGGGGAATTGAGGGAAGCTTGGTATAGCTGCTTTTCTAACATCTTAGCTCCTCTGTGCAGGTAGGAGGTGTGAACAGCATGTCCTTGCAGTATAGAAAGTTGCATTGGAACCAATGAGGAGGAACTTATTTTTTGTTTCTATAGCAGAATAAAATATGAAGATTAAAGGGCTATCAAAACACATACTTTCATTGTTTTTTCCCTATATTTTTGATGTACATCCCACCCTGTTATAACAATCTGAAGTGCCGGAACCGTGGTTTTACAAATACAGTATGACCTCTGTACCGACAAGGGATACGTTCCAAGACCTCCATACCCCTGGATTCCTGAAATTTTGGATTACAAAATCTTATATTGAATATATTTGATCTAGAAATATTTTATAGAATCGTATTGGAGTACCTAGAAAGGCCCACAAACACTTCTGGGGAGAACAGCATTTTTAAAACATGTGCAAGTGAAACAATAGATAGCAAATTTGTGGAAAAAGGGGTGATATTGTAATGTCTTTGTGGCAACTATAGGTTCTTAAATACAACATGTTTACAAGAATTGACTTGTGAAATTAAAGGGAAATATTGCTGTAACAGTTCTACTAAAACAAGCTCATTCTCTTGCTCCCAGTTAAAGTATTATAGTAAAATTTACATAGTTTCCTACCTACTTTACCACTTACAATTATTAAACCATTTGTGTGACGAAACAAAACTTCTTATTTCAACGTTCTTTGTTCAAGAAAGCTCAATGAAGCTTGTCATTCTCTTAAAAGTTATAAGATAGCAAATCTTCTCATGATTGCATTTGATGATACTTGCAGAACATATGAGTGGTCTGTATTGCTGTGTCCTTGGGATGTTTCTTCCTAACGCTTGGCTTGTCTATGAAAAAAAGCGGTATCAAACCTTAATTAGCTCTTTTAATAATATAATTGAAATACCTATCTCAAGTTTGTTTTCAAAATGTGCCAAATCCAAAAAAATGAAAAACGAGTTATAGGTGGCAGCACATGGTTAGCTAGGAATGTAATATTATGTACATATCAAAACTGTTAAAATGTATTAAGCCCCTTCAGTACAGGGCTTGGAAAATTGTATTTTATAACAGGAACATGCATATTTTCAGCATTTTTTGTAATTCCTGTAAAATTTGTTGAAATAGATTTGGTGCCTTCTGGAAACATGTGCTTACATACACTGTACAGGTAGTCTCCAAGTTACAAACAAGATAGATTCTGTAGGTTTCTTCTTAAGTTGAATGTGTATTAAGTTTAACTCCAGCCTAAAATATATTGTATCTTTGGATAGCATAGGGAAGGATGAACACCCCTGTGGTGTTTGTTTTGCTGCTTGTGCCCCTGTTCAGAAGATTTCACTTCACTTTCTGCCCCTATGTTAATTGGATTTTGAAAAAAATTCCCTGGCTATGGAAACAAGGATTGGTGAAAAAGCTTCCGTTTAGACACCCTTTCCCCATAATATCTCTTTCAGGGGTGAATTTCCCTTCTGAGGGGTAGATTTCTCTCACTCCCTCTTGTCTTACCCACATTCTTAACTATGAATGATTTGTAAGTTATATGTTTGTAATTCAGGGACTGTCTGTATTTCACAACAAATTATGTTGCTAATGTGACAGCATATTATAGCTCATCTGAGGTGAATTCAAGTCCCAGCGTAAATTTTAAAAATATGATGCATACTTTTCTCATAGAGTTTTGCATTGTGTGTACTTACATGCCTTCAAGTCACTTGTAGACGTATGGCAACCACAGAATTTAAGATGGTTTTCTTAGGCAGGGAATACTGAAGTTTTATTCCAGTTACTTCGAAACATGGTAATTCTTGCAGTTTTTCTTGGGGGTGGGGTATAGCAAAGCTTGTCACTGATCTGTTTAAATAATAAACATTTCTGAATTATAGACCCATGGCCATGAATTCTGAATTGACTTGTTCCATGTGTGATTAACTGGGATATTGATACTTAAATACATTATTAAATGGGATCCACCTCCTCCACAGTAAAGAAATATACATGCAGGTAGTGAACAATCAACTAGCAAGATCAGTTAGTCGATATTTGGAGTTACTCAATGTTTGTTCTGGGAAGAAAGGCTAAAGGAGCATTTGTTGTTCCTTTTCCCACTGAATTTCCATAATCTTTACCAACTGTTTTTCCTTTTATAATCCAGAACATTTTCCTAGTTTGTCTATCTTTTACCTAAGTATGTATCTTTGTAGGTATTGGCGGAACACAAATTCTGTTCTAGTGATGCAGCATAACTGCAACAAAACTTTCTCTGTTTATGTAAGGAAGAAAATCTCTATGTTCTATTATTTCAGTTCTAATGGAAATAATTTTTATTTGAGAGGTTCCTGTCTAATATATTCAGCATATATTCAGTATATTCTAATATATTTAACAGTCATTGGGCTTACATTTTTTTAAAAAATATGTGTCTGAACGTATCTCCCCTTATGAGCCAGATAGAGCTTTAAGATGTGCTGGGGAGACCCTGTTCTTGGTCCCACCCCCTTCGCAAATGTGAAACAGGTCCTTCTCAGTGGTGACCACTCAGTTGTGGAACTTCCTCCCCAGTGACATTAGGCTAGCCCCATCCTCCTAGTTTTTAGAAGAAAAAAAAAACTAAAGTCCTGGCTCTGTACACAGGCGTTTGGAGAGTAGGATAACACGGAATGAGACCTCAACAGTTTGAATAATGACTATCGGTAAATCTATAAGCATGAAATTGAGAATCGGCACTTTGTATGTTTTTAATCTGTTTTAATGTTTTTATGCATTTGTTTATATATTTTAATTGTCTTCTAGTTTGATATATCTTGTTTTATTGTTGTGTATGTTGTGACATTGATTCTTTGCCAGAGCTTGTAACTAGCTTTGAGTCCCCTTCGGGGTGAGAAGTAAATAAATAAAGCATTTTAGTTACATTTAGTTTTGTACTTTA